TAAATGTGTCCAATTTAAAGTACGGTAGTGGAACTGTGATGGTGTGGGACGTTTCTTTTCCAAAGTCCCCGGGAGATAAGTTAGCACAGATCGCTTCAATCCTCATTGAAATTCAAGGACAGAACTCAGATATAAAAGTCGTCCTCAGCAGGTTGACAGTAAAATCAAAAAATAAAAGGCTTGACTTTTTGTAGTTGGCCATCTTGGTGGGCAGGTATGATTCCCTGACGACCTGTGTGGCGAAGTAAAGCGAAAACAGACAGTAAGCTCTAAAGCAGGAGTGTCCAGTCTAGAGTACTTCGCATGTTTTGGATGGTTTTGCTCTGACACAACTGATCCAAGAGCTAACTTAGCTCCTAATGCTCTGCGGCATCAACTTAAGCCGGGCATACACTGTGAGATTTTTTCAATCGTTGCACGCAGCTACAGCTCACACTGTATGACGAAACCGCAGGGTTCCATCGCACAGAGTGAGTTCACAGCTCACGATGTACGTTCTCCCACTGTGCAGCACAACGCTCTGATGCGATCTACCTGCTCACACTATACGTCTAAAAAAACCACGTTGGACTTAACTCCACAATGGGATGGCACTACTCTGACTCGTCTATCCGAAAGCCAAATGAGTAGAAGAAGAAAATGAAGCTTTTAAGAGTCAAACGCGCTGCATTGGCAATTTGAGCAATCTTGTGCTGAAAGTCCTAAAAAGAAAAGGCGACAACGTATTTGGACAAAGACATGGCTGAGCAAACGTGGCTACTGCGATCTGTCAATTTTACAGAAAGAACTCCATTTCACTCGCATCCCCGCCGTGCTTCTTTGTTTTCCTCTGAGAGGAAGAAGAAGAATCCTTGTTTGCACACCGAGCGGTTTGCCCACGACGGTCCTGACCTCACAATTCCTGATCAGGAGGTGGTTGCAAGAGGCTGATTGCCCCTCGTTACCCCCTGTACTCTACACGACACGTGATCAGGCTGAAAATTCTGGCACGACTGGAAAGTCGAAAAGGACAACAACAAAAAAATCACAGTGTAAGCCCAGCTTTACCAAACCCTTTGGTTGAATTATGTACGTTGAACCAGTAAAACACTGGAGATCAGCTCCTAAAGAGTGACTCTTTACACCAGTCATCTAAATATATATAATGAAATAAAGAATAATCAAACATCCTTTTGCCTGAATGTTGAAACCCGTGAAATATTAGAGGAGAATAGGGCTTTGTTAAAACAAATCAACTTTTGAATTCTGAATCGATTCTCATCTTAACTCCTAAAGTTTAATTTCTATGAACAATCTAAAAAATGTATTTTCCACTGTCCTTACAGCCACCATTAACTTTAACTTAAATTAACTGTTATTATCTCAATAATTTGCAGTTCAATGTTAATTTGATACTAATTTCATTATATTGCATAACTACAGTGATGTGATTCAGGTAATAGCTGAAAATGTATTCTTTGGTATAGGTAATCCAGTCAGAGACTGGACCGCATCTTAATTGATCAAAACAAATTACCTCTAAACCTTTAAGAATCAGAATCAAATCAATTATTTAAGAGACTTTTACACATTTTTTCCTCGTAAACACCAGTGGTGCTAGTACGTTTGGAGAATCCTATGGTTTAATCAGTCTCAGACAGTAAAGTAAAAACATTTTGGAATGTAAATTTTTGATAATATTGAGAAAATTAAAATTATTTTGGCAGGCTACAATAGTCTTGACTCAAATTAACAATAATCTAACTAAATCTGTTGATTTAGTCCCTACCTATATTGTTATAGATTCCTAGTAGTGTGTCCCTTTCCCCCAGAGGATTGTGAGGCTAAAGCCTTTTTGCTACCTTTAGTTATTCAAAGGCCGACCAAAAAGAAAGAAAAAAATTCAAAGCCAGTGTGTTTGACATTGGAGGGTGAGGAAAAAAGGAGGAAAATTATCCCGCCTTACTGAAAGATAAGGTAGAAGGTCAGAGCAGCATCGGCTTCTGACTTAATGATGCCAGTTGAGAGCTTCTGTCTGGACTTCCTGCCTTTTTCTAAATATTCCCCAATCAACGATTCAACAAGGCAATCAATCAACATCTGTCGACGTATCCTGAACGAGAGAGGAGTTAAGGGTGACATAGCAGGTGGGGGGTCTGGCAGAGAGGATGGGGTGATGAATGAGGGAGGACAAACACGGGGTCAAAGATCACAGGAAGAAGCCCTCTGCCGCCATACCAGCTTCAGCTCTTTAGGAAATCATCACCACCCGTTCGTAAGCCCAGGGTTTACTTTATCTGTAATTGATGGTAATTTAAGTTATATTCATCTGAAATTGCGGGAAAAATATAATAAATGAAATTATAAATGTTTCGAGGCACCTCTCATTTCTTTAGTCTTTAGTGTTTTTTGAGGGGTTTTTTGGACTTTGGATGCCATTTAAATTTATTTCGGTCCAGTTCCTGAACATTTTCAAAAGCTATTCTTTTATTTACTTTATAAAAAATCCTTATTTTAAGCTCAAAATTCACCAAAGATGTTTTTCTAAAAACTTTTTTTTGCACATTTTTTCAACATGACTGATCAGCCATGTGCTGCATCCAGTGACGGAGCTACACTTTCTATTGTTAGACAAGTCTATGAGAGTTTTATAGCCGTAGTTTTTAATCATTTGCATTTGGGGTTTCCAAATGTTAAATATATTTTCGTGCATGTTAGGCACCAAGGGGATATGATTTGTGTATATAGCTTTCCATTTCTTAACAATGTGACAAAATTGGAATCTAAACCACAGCAAAAAATATGTCAGCGTGTGAATGTGTTTATGAATGGATGAATATCTTAAAAACAGAAGCAAAGCAAAGTACTATACAAATACAGAGCATTTACCATATAAAGTGTTACCTTGTTTTATCCTCCCTACAGCGGTCACAATTTACTGGATTATACTCTTTAATTAGTATGGAATTAGGCCTTCGTCTCTAAATCCTTGATTTTCATCTTTCTCCTTCTTCCTCTCCTGTGTTTTTGATCCTATAAAATCATCTATTTTTCTTCCTTCAGATTCCCGCTTGTCATTCTGTCTTTAGCTTTTGATTTTTTACTAATATGCACTGTTAATCTTCTTTAGTTAATTGAATGCAACCTTTCTCAAATCATAGCACCAGGGGTGGTAAGTAACCAGTTACATCTATGACCATCTAAACATGCTAAATATTATTTTAAAAACAAATGTAGATATTATTGGCCTTATCTGCTGCTTTTGATCATAATTCACATCGGCTGAAGCTGATATGAACACACAGAAGCAGATTTACACGTAAGTAGAGGAGAATCTACAGGTGCATAAAAAGCAAGAGAGCACAGATAAAGAGTATGAAGTCATGCGTGTGATATACTGTAGGTACCGTATATAGTATTTAATGTGGACATAACGAACATTTAAAATGTGTTTGGAGAGTAGTTAGCCTGCATTTGCTTTAAATAAAACTGCTCTTTTTAATCCGTTCACCCTTTTGGCAGAATTCTGACTTCAGAGTAGAGAAAGGCTTTGTTTGTAACACTTCTTCTCTACACACAGAGCCCAACAGCCCAACAAATGACTTAGGCTACGTTCATACTGAAGCCTGACGCAACCCAAATCCGATTTTTTTTTGCCCATATGTGACTTGGATCTGATCTTTTCATGGCTGTCTGAACAACACAGATCCCATTTTTTCCGATGCGACCCAGGCCACTTGGCTATGTGGTCCTGAATCCGATACGAATCTGATCTTGTCTGAACGGCCAGGTCGGATTCATCCGACCTGAACGCCATTAATACCAGACAAAGGTCACTATTCTGGGTCTTGCTATAAAGAAGCGCCAAGAAAAACAACAACCATGGTGGACGATGGTGCGGAGAGCAGTATTTATGTTTAACTATCTTGAAAAGATTGTGTTTTTATGGTTGGGAAAGATCGCTTGATGCGCTGGCTTGTGATGTTATCACGTCCTCTACAGCGCATGTGGCACACTTGCTTTGTATGACTGCAGTTCACACAGGAGATCACATACAAGTCGCATATATTCGAAAATATGAACAGCAACGCAAAAAAAAATCGCATTTCACAAAAAAATCAGAATTGAGCATCAAGGCCTGCAGTGTAAATGTGGCCATAGATTACTTTTGTCAGTAGCAGCCTGGTTAGTTGATCAGAGCAGATAGAGGCCATAAGCAGCTGAGGCTAAATATCAGGTTTTGGTTTACTTAGTTTGTTTATTGAAAGGTTGATTACAGTCTGGGTTTCCAGTTGCTGTATCAAAAAATGGATTGTTCCACGCTCTGTATTGAGATGATTGGATTGAGATTTGTCTGCATTTCTGATGGGGAAAAAAACAACAAAATATGCTCTGGGGGCCTTGTCAATATATTTGGGACCTTTAAATGTCTTTTTCTCCAGCTGTAAACATGATTAACACTGTCACAAAACCCAAACTATAGTGGAGGAGCAGGAAAGACCAAGGGGAAAGAAAACAGGCAAGGAGGAATACATTAGACATTTTTGGAAAAGAAAACAGAAAAAAATATGAAGTAAAAAATGCAAAGTCTCTTTAATGTCTAATAAATGTGGGAGGAATGTTTTAAACTGTTTTAAACTAAACTGTTTTAAATGCACCCTTATTGGATGACTGAATGCCATTTATTTAATTAAGAGACAAAATGCAACACAAATTATGAATAATGCTGAGCTGCAAATGCAGAGATTGTTAGATAACAACAAATCATCACTCCTCAGACTAATGGCTGACTCATACGCACAGTTTTGGCAGAACATTCAATCAGGAAAAGGATATGCGGAGCAACATCTGTAAAACATTATGTCTTCATTTTTATGTATCCCATCAAATAAAAGAAAAACAGCCAGCTTTAGTACCATCTTTAATTTTAACTCATCAGGAAACCAGCAAAGTAATTCGATAACTTTAGGTCAGCACAGAGGGATGAAAAAAATAACTTGAATTGAATGGTGAAAACTCACTTTAATAGCCAGAAAGTTGAGGCCACTTTCATTGGCCAGGGCTTTGGCTATCATGGTTTTGGAGCAGCCTGGGGGCCCATAGAGCAGGACTCCTTTTGGTGGTTGGATCCCCATGCGGGTAAAGGCCTCCGGGTGCCTCAGGGGCCACTCCACGGCCTGCTTCAGTTTCAGCTTCACCTCTGCCATCCCACCAACATCAGACCAGCGGACCTGGAAAGATGAAGCCAAGAGAAACCATCCTACTTAAATCAAAACTAAATGAGAAGTTATTTTCATCCAGGCTAACCTTGTTCTGTAAAAAAATGCTGTAAAAAAATTACAATAAAGGTTAGAAAACAGAGGGGAAAATATTAAGCAGGAAATGAGGGGGAAATTAGAGCACCTGATTCCAATAATTGGGATAGGTAAGAAAATACATTTGGCAATGTAGCACGTAGATTTATAAACACACACACACACACA